TGTCTTACTTTTGGGGAAACAGGGTAACTATCTGATTCCAAATGATCAATGCCAGTCCTTTTCAGCTTGCTAATGCCTCAGATCTCAGTCTTCGTGGGTTGCATTTCATTTTTCACAACTTCCAATTTTCCTAGATTCATATTGTGTACAGTCCAAGTTCTAATTATTTTCCCCTATGTTTGAAATGAATTTGTCACTAAAGGCTCCAAGTCCATTTCCATTTTACTTTTCTTCCTTTTTTTGCCACTCAGACCAATATTTAGGTCAGAAGGATAAGGACTTGGAAATATTTGCTAATTTCTATTTTTAAAGAAACACATTGCCTCTAGCTACACAGCCCATCTCGAGAAATTAAATCAACAACAATATCCACAGCAGGCAAAACAGCACAACATGAGCTTGAGTGTAGCCCACCTGAATGTGGAGAACATCTCCAGAACAGATTGGATGCACTGAACACTAACAACAGAAACCTGAGGAGCTGTGGGATGACATCAAGATATGAAGAAAGCAAGAGGCCTTTAAAAAGACAGGAAAGAAAGAAAAGATCAAAGTGAATGTCAAAAGGGACTCTGAAATTTGCTCTTACCCATAGAGTAGCTAAGACAAATGGAAGAAATGACGCAATCGATGAGCGGAACAGAAACTTTCAAAGGGCAGCTTGAGAAGACAAAGTAAAGTATTGTCAAGAAATGTGCAAAGACCTAGAGTTAGACAACCAAAAAGAGACCGTGATCAGCCTATCTCAAACGGAAAGAACTCAAGAAATTCAAGCCTTGAGCTGCAACAGTGGTTGCAATAATAGTGCTTTGAGAGAAAGCTGCCAGAGATTCAGGCTGGATTCAGAAGAGAATGTGGAACAAGGGGTATCATTGCTGACATCAGATGGATCTTGGCTTAAAGCAGAGAATACCAGAAAGCTGGTCCTTGTGTTTTATTGACTCTGCAAAGGCATTTGATTCCGTGGACCATGACAGACTGTGGAGAGTTTTGAGAACAATGGCAATTCCAGAACACTCCATTGCGCTCGTTTGGAACCTGTGCATGGATTAAGAGGCAGTTGTGTGAACAGAGCAAGGTAACACTTCCTGGTTTAAAATCACAAAGGGTGTGTCAACGGTTGTATCTGCTCAGCATACTCATTCAATCTGTATGCTGAGCAATTCCTCAGAGAAGCTGGATTATCTGAAGAGGTATGTGGTATCAGGATTGGAAGAAGGCTTGTCAACAACCTTTGATATGAAGATGATACAACCTTGTGCTGAAAGTGAAGGGAACTCGAAGCACTTGCTGATGAAGACCAAGGACTGCAAACTCAGTGTAAAGAAAACCACAGTCCTCACAGCTGGACCAGTAGGTAACATAGTGATAATCAGAGAAACAACTGAAATTGTCAAGGATTTAATTTTGCTTGGATCTACGAGGCGTTGCATCCAGTAAATCGACAGTCGGCTCTAAGTAAATCTTGAGACGGCTCTAAGTTTGAATTCAGAGTGTCAGTTCTAGGGGAAGTCTCTCTATTGACTCAGTTTAGGAAGGACCTTGTCTCTTTTCAGCATCTGTTTCTTGGAGTTCCCCATGTATCTTGGCATAAATATCCCCCTGGGTCTAGAAGGTTCTCAGCCTAGGGACCTTGGATCCAGAGAATATGCTCTGCTCCCAGTTCTTCTTTCATGGTACTGAAACCCCTCATTGTCTGCTTGCTTCCCCCTCCTCTGGTCTCTTGTAAGATCAAAGGTATGTAGACCACACCTCAGAGAAACTCCCTTTGATCAGATCAGAGTTGTGACCTGAGTACCTGTGTTATAAAAAAAACAAACTCATGGTGACCCTACAGGACAGAGTAGAACTTCCCCGTGAGTTTCCCAAACTAGCCAGGCCTCAAGTGTGCTATAGTCCATCCTAATTCCCTTACAACTGGCTGGCTGGTCTTATCAGATCACATCACGTTGACCTGTTACGTAAGTAACTGCCAGATCTTGGAAATCATGGCCCAGCCAAGTCGACACATATTTGGTGGTGGGGGGGGGACACAATTTAATCCACATTGTCCTTTCGTGTCTGACTCAATGTTTTCAAGGCTCATCTATGTCATGGCATCTATCAGAACTTTTGGGGGACATTTTTATTTAATAACTATATTTAAAATTTTAGATCTTGTACTCTATGACAGAATAGGACAGATGTATTCTTGGGATCCTAGTATTTCTGTTTGTTACATTTGCTTACTCAGGGAATTGTAAAGCATAAGTTCAATCAAATTATGCATTCATACCTGGTAACAGGTTTGTTTGTTTTTCCCACCGAAGGCTCTCAGAGACTTGGAGGTGAGTTTGACTTGTTTTTGCGCCCCCTCCCACCCCCACTCAGAAGGTTTCTAGACCACAGGTAATAAAAACGGTAATTCTAACTCCATACAAAGGGCAGATCCAGTGTTTCTGTTTTTTTCAGGGAACTTTATGGTTCGTGGGTTTGTTTTCACTTCAAGATCAGGAACATGCTTTCTTGATCCTTTGTGTGTGTGTGTGTTGGGGGGAGAGGGCAGTCTCTTCAAGGCTTTATGCAGGGGTCTCAGGCCCAGTCCCACTTTGCTTGGAGATAAGACCTGATCATGTGACCCAGAGAGCGCAGGAAGCCGGAGAGACAGTGCCCCTGGGCCCTCTGCACCCCAGGTCGGCAATTTTTGTTCTCAGTGCTCCTTGTTCCTCTCGCCCCCTGCATCTCGGGTCCCTCTGTTGTTCTTTTCTGCCAGCTCAACCATCCAGTTCAAACGCCATTGGTCTCATTCCCTGAGTCTTTGGGGTAAGTGCTTGGTGCAGTTGTTCTCAAACGCTCTGCCATCAAGTTGATGCTGGCTCACGGTGAGCCTACAGGACAAGGGAGACCTGCCTCGGGTGACTTTCCGAGAGAATAACTGCTGATGGGAGTAGAGAGCCTTGTCTTTCTCCCTTGGAGGGGCTAGTGGTCTCGTACTGATGACCTTATGGATCACAGCCCAACTTGAAATCACTACACCCCAGGGCTCCTGCTGTTAGTGCGGTCCAGTGGGTTCTGACTCACAGCGACACTGCCCCCCGCCCCATCATCACAATTGCTTTGTTTGAGCCCATTGTTCCCACCCACTGTGTCAATCCATCTCATCAAGGGCCACCTTCTTTTTCTCTGCCTCTCTGCTTCCCCAAACGTGACGTCCCTGTCTAGGACTGCTCTCTCCTGACAAAGCACATGAGATCATCTCATCCTCCTTGCCTCAAAGGGGCACTCTGGTTGTGCTTCTTCCAAGACGGATCTGTTTTCAATGCGGGCAGTCCACAGTGCTTCCACGACCCTTCGCCAGCACCATAATTCAAATGTATCAGTTCTTCTGGCTTCCTTATTCAATGTCCAACAGGCAATGAGGTGACTAAAACACCATGGGGGTTGAGTCAGGTGTCCACCGGTCCCCAGAGTATGGGTTTTCAATACTTTGAAAGAGGTCTTGGGTAGGAGCAGATGTACCCAGTGCAGTGGGGGTAAGTGCAGCAGGAGAAATGTCGGGTTTATTGTTTTTCCATCTTGCTGGAATGACCAACACTTTCTCAGGCTTCTTAGCTGGAGGCTTGTCCTCCATTTGCCCTTTTGCCTTCTGCTGGGCATGACCTTTTCCCCGAACCCCTGATCCAGCTCTTTCTCTGAGCCCCAGTAGTTCATGACAGGGAGCAGGGCGGAGGCTGACTAGGGGCTTCGACTCCTGACAAAGCTGTGTTTGAATCATTTTTCTGCCACTTAAGAGCAGAGTGACTTGGGACATTTGGGACTTGGCCACCGTAGAGCCCTGGAAGCATGCTGTTAACATGCAGTGAGCCCAGGGCCCCGAGACCTCACCCCCTGGCCAGGAATTGGGCTGGTGTGCCCTGTGATTATGCTGGTGAAGGGCAGGGCTTCAAGTTCATCCCCAGGCACCGCACCCACGACTGTACATTCCATATTCCGGCAGTCCCCTGAGGGATGACTTCTGTTCCTTGTTACAGGAGCTGGCCGGTCTCAGTCCCATTCCACCAGACCCATGCCGGTAGAGGGGTAGTCGCTGCAGACCTCAGGCAACATGCGAAGTGAGGTTTAAACACCTCCGTCTTACTAGATGGTGCCCACTGGCCATCACTGACTGGTCTGAAAGGGACCTCATTAGAAGGTCCTGGACAGGGAGGGAGGAAAACCGTGTAAAACAGACTAAGCTTGCTGGCCATGGAGACTATAGCCCTTAGTCACCTCTCAGGTCTGGAACAGAACTTAGAGGAATCAGCCATTTAAGTTAAAAAACCCATCGGTTCTGATTCATAATGACCTTATGGGAGAGTAGGATTGCCTGTGGGTTTCTGAGTCTGGGAGAGAGTCTTCCTTTGCCCTGCCCCAATACACCACCAGCAGTCCTTTCAAGATCAGTAAGGTAGCGTTTGCCCAGGGACATGGTTCTGAGGGTGAGGAAGGCAGAGGAATGGAAACAGCTAACACAAGGTGGAAGTAAGATAAGGGGGTGAGGGGTCAGGGGTGGGTGGCACAGAGGGTGTTGCAGTGGGTGAGTTCAGTATGAACTGCTGAGTGTAAGAGGATCCATCTGTTCTGTAAGCCTTCAACCAGTTCACAGTAAAAAAAAAAAAAGAGGTTAAAAAATAACAAAAGCTTTCATTTTATCTGAACTGATTTGTGGAGATATTGGTCTTTGAATCCGGGGGGTGGGGACCTTCCTGGGCTATCTTGGGAATCAGTGGTGAACAGCCAGGGGACTCCCCACCCCCCATGAGGACAATATCTCAGGCTCTCTGAGCTTACTCATCCACTGGATAAAAGCCCCCCTTCTCCCCTCCCCACTGCCCTCCAGCTGGGCCTCAGGGTCTTCTCCCACCCGCCCCATTCGAGCTGCAGCTGCCCGGTCCCCCAGCAAATGACTCTCTGGGAGAGACAGGCATGCTCCTGTTCCCTGGGACCAAGGCCCAAGTCCCAAGGCCCTTCCCAGGGCTTACTGTCACAGGCCACAGGATGAAGGGCATGTATCTGTTGATGGCGAAGGAGTAGATGACTATGAAGAAGATGAGGATGGCCATCTCCATGGTGACGATGAGCGTCAGGACGGGGTGCACCGACAAGCCCGAAAACAGGATCAGCGCGGTGATCAGGCAGCCCTGGCGGGAGACGCGCGCTTGAGCCAGCTGCGGAGACCCTAACCCTCTGCGCCCCCAGCCCCAGCCCCCTGGATCCCGGTGCACCCACTCCCGCCCACCGGCCAGCCAGTCTGCTCACCAAAGCCAGGAACTTGACCTCGCCGTGCCCTATGACCCAGAATTCCTTGTTGCTGCTCTTGAGTTCCCACCGGTACCGGCGGCACTTCTTCCGGGTGCCCACCTCATTCTTGGGTTGCGGGGACTTGGTCTTTTGGGGCTCCTCCCCCCCCTCCTCTTCCTTCTCGTCGCCTTTCTTCTCGTCGTCTTTCTTCTCGTCGTCTTTCTTCTCGTCCTCTTTCTTCTCGTCCTCTTTCTTCTCCTCGCCTTTCTTCTCGCCACCTTTCTTCTCGCCACCTTTCTTCTCGCCCTTCTTCCGCTCCTCAGCTTTGGCCTTGCCCTTGGCCTTGTCGGCCATCTTCACCCCGAGTCCTGAGCTGGCCACTGGCTGCGCAGCCTCTCCCCGGGGCTCCCCGACAAGCCTGGTCGGCAAGAGAGCCTGGCGCCCACTGACCTCTGCTCGGAGGCCGCGCTTGGCCCGCTGCGCCACAAAGGCCGACGCACGCGCCACGCGGTCCCTCTGCTAGCGGGGTCCCCTTGCGCCCCACCCAGCCCCGCAGGCTGCCTTCACCCAGCAGCTGCCTCGCCCACCACTCTCCACGCACCCACTCTGCTGGTTCGGCGTCCAGCCCCATGCTGGGTGTCCCCACCCCCCACCCCACCCCGAGGCCCCAGCGGCTCCCACCTGGGGAGGGGGTGTCTTTGGCTGCTGGAACCCCGAGCCAGGTCCCTCCGCCGGGCCGCTGCGGGCGCGAAAGAAATGGGGTTCGGACACAAGACCACGTGGGGAAGCGGGTGC